CATGTTTTTATTTCAGCTCATGTTCAGATTTTCTCTGAAGGTTTTCATCGTTACTTTTAGATGATTTCACTGAGATCTAATTTTTTTTTGTGTCCTCAGTCTCCGTGCTTTAGTCCAACACTGTAAAACAATACATCTCCAGGAACATGAACTTCCTGTTGGACCCTGAGCTCTTACCTTGATGGAGAGAAACTCGGAGAAGTCCGTGGTTCTCTTCCTGCAGCAGGACCAGCCCTGCAGACGAACACACAGACATCTGGGTTTTATGACGCAGAGAAATCAACGTGTTGCTGACGTGTTGGTTTGTTGGTTTTTACCTTCAGAGCGTCGTGGAAGATGGGGACTCCCGGGTGGAAGAGGCAGGAGTCTGTTTGTGAGGAGAGAGAATCACTGAGTCTGGATTTAGACGAACTCGCAGTCAGCAGCGTTCAGCTGTTGTCAGAGGTCACGGGAGCTCGGTCGTCCACAGACACATGGTTCAACAGTCGACTGAAGCTCAGACTCACACGACGATAACGACATTTTTAATCATCCAAATAGTTCATCCATGATTTTCTAGAATCATTTGCAATAAACATATTTTTCTGGATGTTTTACTCCCAAAGGAGAAAAACCACAAATCAGAGCAATATGAGAAACCTTTCAAAATAAAAGCAGTTGTGAATCCAAATTTGTGATTGAAACCAGCTTTTAATTATTTCTAATTTATTCATTTCAGGTCCTAATTTTAAAACTTAATTAGATTTTTAATGTTCTTTTGGTTCAGGAGTCACAAACCTTGAACTTTTAAATCTGTATCTGTGATTTTCCACTTTTATCTCTGAATCTCTTGTTTTCATGAACCTGTAACAGACGTTTACATTTTACATTTCTGTTCCATGAAATAGACTAAAGTAAGATCTAAACTCTTCAAAGACTAAATTAAACCAAATCTGTGAACTACAAGAACAAAATGAAGTCACTGTAAGTTTTGGATTAGTCTTTAAACATTTCTTATCTCGACTGACGTCCACTGAGTTTAACTTAAAAAGTCCAGCAGCAGAAAGAGGCGGTGGGATCTCACCCTCTTTGTTCTGGTCGGCGTCATATTTCTGTCCACAGCCTCTGTTGTAGCACAGATGAGTCATGTTGGCGTCTCGCTGCTTCTTCTTCTTCGTCTTCCTCGTCTTCTTCACTCTGGAGCCGCAGGACGTTTGAATCTGCTCTTAACACCGAGGCCTCGGCTCCAGAAGTTTCTGTGGTGGATTTCTGGAAAAGAGCAGAACGACTCTCTCTCTGGTTTGGTCCTGACTGAATGAAAAGATAAAAATAGCAGCTCAACTCCCTCTTCAACTCCCTCCCCCCTCGTCCCCACACACCCCCGTCTCTATTTACAGCTGTCAAAACTTATCTGGGGGGGGGGGGACATTCCTGCTGCTGAGTGTCAGTTGTCACATCAGGCCCGACTTCAGCCACAATGGATCTCTGTCACTTTCACTGGATCCTCATCTCAGGTTGAAGTCAGTTCACCTGAAGAAGAAGCTCCACAAGTTTTAAATTCCACTGATCGATGAGGAAATTAAACCCACGTGGGATGATCGATCTTTTCATTTAAAAATCTTTGGTGTTAATCGGTTAAAGATCATTAAGATTAACACAATGTGAGTCCCTTCACACCTGCAGCCTGAATCTAACTTCAACACAGACATAATTAGAGTTAGAGTACATTTATTTTAGTCAAAATCAAATGTTTGGATCCTATTAAACAAAATTGGAAGATTTCGATATTAGAAATAAATCTGGGACGTTTAAATATAATGAAAAAGGAAATTTTAGATTTCTAGAATACACACTGTAGGAAAGTAACTAAGTTTTACATGAGTTTGTATAAATATATACACTTATTACATATTTTAATCATGATTTACAGTTTGGGGCCGAGGTGAACATGAAATTCATTATGAACACATGAGGATGAATTAAGACACTGGAGCCTGCGGCGCTGCAATCAACCAGAAGTTTGACATTTCAAGGTCTTGACTTTTATTTTTTTTTACCAGAGACTGAAAAGTGTATTTTAAGGTTCAGTAGATTTTCTTTGCAGTTTTGCAGAAACTTGTCGAGATCAGAGTTCGTCCAGCGACCGTCAAGAAAAACTCCAGAAACAGGTGTAGGAATGGAAAATGACTTTATTTCTTCCAAAAAAGAGAAAACAAATCCTTTGAATAAACAAATATACTGCTGTAAAATAAAAGCCTGTGATTTCTGTCCACTGTAACATTTGTTAGCCTTTCCATGCTTGATACAATCTATAATTCTGCTTTAAATAAATAGAAAAAAAATGTACAAAGAGACGGGGGAGGAGACAGAAGAGAGAGAGAGAGGAACCGATTAAAAGGTGGAACTCTGCTCAAGAACAAAAACATTTGGCATCTTTGAGAATTAATGGCTGATCCTGATTTCCGGCTGCCCTCGAAATCTGCATCATCTGTTTCACCCGCCCCCACCGAGTAGTAATCATACCAATATACTGCGTACGAACACTAATATCTGTTCAGAAAAATAAAGAGTAAATGAAAATAATGCGGATTATAAGTGTATGTATTCAAGCTGCGTGTTTGTGTGAGTTTCTCTATGTACAGAATATTGAGGCAGCAATCCGAGGTTTCTTACCAAAAAACACAGATGTAGAAAAACTGAACGTGCACAAGAGATCTTTGACACCGACAGAAAACCAGGAACTTTATCTGCGTCACAGCTTCTCTGACGTTTCATTTCTGAATCCTGCATTTCTCTTCCTGCTCTGCACAGCGACCCACAGATGGCGCCACAACCCAAGCAGAGGACAAGAGCTGCGAGGAACAACAGTGACTTCTTCTTCTGGGAGGTTTGTCTCCTTCTGTCAGAGTCACTTCAAACTGTCATGGACGGAAAATGACTGGTCAAGAAAGTCTGATCCATTTCGCTCTTTAGGGAGACGTCTGAAAAACGGGGACTAAAAGAGGAGTTTATCACCATCACTGTCAAATCATGCTTTTTTTTGGAAAAAGGACAACAAACATCCACAACGACACAACCATGCTCTCACCGACCCGAGAGAGGGGAGTCCGCTCTCTGAGCGTTTGGCCTCAGCAGAGAACAAACGTTTTAAAATGACATCAAGGTTTATCAGTGTATCCGTCTCCATCTGGATTCATGCTACAACAATGCAGAGAGGTGGCAGCAGCGTTTGAAGTTGAGAGAAACTTTCCGAACACCATCCACGAGGCTGATCGGACCTACACCGCCCGAGTCGTTGGGCAATCCCAGAGAACGGCGGTCGCGCTGGGGGGACTTCCCAGACGAAGAGTGGGAGAATATTAATGGAGGGAGTTGCCGAAAGAGGAGCCTGCATGCTCGGCCAAACCCCCCCACCCCCTGGATACGACCATTACCGAAGTGATAAAGCTGTTTTAATTACTGGCAGTTACATCGACGCTCAGGACGTGAGCCAGTAACGAAGATAAAACAAAAAGAACCACGGGAGTCTCCTCTTCTTCGCCGCCTATCGCACACAGGAATACGACAACTTTGAAACCACGAGGGACACAAAGACAAATCAAACCTCGAAGCAACAGGCAGGACTGGATTCCATGCAGAGAAATATTAAGGTTTACAAAGAGAAAGAAAAGAAACCGACCGAGGGGAAGAGAAAAAAGTAGATTTTACCTCTTAAGGAAAGAGTTTGTTGTTTTCTGAGGATATGAAACATCAGAAACGATCCGATCTTCAATGACTTGATTTTGCATCAAAGCCGCTTCGTTTCCTGATGCGACAATTTATCACATCGGATTAGAGACAGAAAGACAAATGTCCCATAAAACACAAGAACCACCAGGAGACAAAAAGCATCAATTGAATAGTTTTGCAGGCGCCCGACGTGGAGCCTGAACAAAAAGGTGTTTTTATTTCAGACCCTGGAGCTTCGGAGGCTTTCGACTCTAAAAGTTTGGGACAAACTGTGTCGGAGGGAGTTCATGTTGACATGAAAACTAAAAGAAGCAGTTTCCCCTCTACAGCTGGAATTGTGATTCTTCCAAATGATGTTGGATCCACCACCAGCTTGTTTGTCCGCCGCTACACGACACGACTGCGGTAAACACTTGTCCGTGTGCAGAGGCAGAGTTCCAGTCGAACAGGACGTGAGATTTTGTTCATCTATCAAAGTTATTTGAACAGTTTGGTCGGAAAGACGTGGCGACGGGCAAAGAGGGTCCACGTGACCACTAGTTCAGTTGCCACTCGAGCTTCAGATCTGTTAGCATTTAGCCAAAGCTCATTTCCAAACACGGCTGAACTTTACTTTACTTGCGCCAATCTCCATTTGGGATTCAACAGTCCAATCAGAAACAGTTTGTTGGCTGCTGAGTTTCACAACGAGTACAAGTTGTTGTCCAGACGGGAAAGAGAAAAGAAAACAAGACGAGGATCTCACCTAACGGACACTGGAGTGATGCTAAAAGCCAGAAGAAAGAGCGCACTTAAAGCTAGAGGAAAGCGAACCATAAAGCCTGAGCCAACGAGCCTCCGCCAGGTTTAATCTACACCTAAAAGACAGAGACACCAAGAGAGATAAGAGCTATAGTTACGAGACACTGGCAGGGACGAGGTGGGAAAGCTACAGCAGGAGGTCTTCTACACTATGACGAGAGGCTAAGCTAACACAAGACCGCGACAAGAGCAATATCTATCCAACAGTGATGGGTGAGTGCTGACGATCGAGACAGAAACTGGTTATTATTACTGGGTTTTTTTTTTGGTTTTTAGTTTTTACATATCTACACATCGAACACTGAAGAACCAGACTGAAAGAAATCATTCTAGAGACCAACTAGACAGAGTGGAGACTGAAGCGAGATACGATGCGACTGGACTATCACTGATGGTTGGGATGTAGACGCTGGACCGGGGATGGGAGTACAAACAGTTTCAAGTTCATTTGTAAAATGGCAGGAAAATAACTTTTTTTAGTTACTCGCCAATGTGGCTGGTAGATTAGACAAACTTGTTATTGTAAAACCCCAAACTATCTTTACAAATCTCTCAACGTTTCCATGCCAGATCTGGCGACAGGTCTACTACGGCAGGATAGTCACTTCAGTGCAAAATTTTCGCATGTGCATTTTGCAACAAAATTAGATTTTACAAAAACGAAACGAGCACATTTCATGTCAAACTCGCAGGCTCAAAATTTGACCCTCGGAAATAGCCCTCAATGGAAAACATACATATAAATGTGTTAGCATACACATGGACACATAAAATCCAAATACACCAACAGTCAAACTCGTGGCGATGTAAGCTTTGGCTGAAGAATGACCACAAGTCGAATTAAAATCCCCCGAATCCCCCGAATTTCCCAGACCGACGGAGCGAGGTTTGTGCCAAACGTTCCGTGTTTGGCTCTCGGCGCAGAACTCGTCGCACGAGAAGAGTCTCACTTTGATTCAGTGCAATTTAAAGTGATTTCTACTTGATTCAGTAACGTTGAACTCACTCAGTGCTGCGGGCAACAATCATTGGCACATTGCGTGGTTCTGTCACCGGGGCGGTCCGAATGAAAAAGATCTTATTTTAGAAACCCCCTCGATGTTTGATTCTGCTTGGCGATCTGATGAAGACCAGAAAAACAGATACACACAGATCATCAAGGTGTTAACGGGCTAATGATGCTAGTACGACAAAAAGTAGAAGTTTCCTCCATTTTAGCCAAAACGTCCAAAGTTAACGAGCTAAAGGTTCCATCGTGTGAATTTACTCACAAGGGAGAAGGAAATGTTCAAGATCGATTTTTGCTATTGACCAATGCCTGTGCAGACATCGAGGTGAAAATGAAAGGAAGCTATCGTAGCTTGTTAGCCGTGTTTTATAAAACAATCGACAAAATGTTTTGGATAAACTGTCAATAATTGTTCTTGGCTGTCTAGCTGTTAGCTCAACAGCTACAATAATTTGAATATCTTAATCTCAGAAGAACACTTTAACATTAACTGTAGCTCACACGGTCCCTGGCTGGCTATTGAGTTAGCTGTTAGCTCAACAGCTTAAATAGTCTGTATGTTTCACATAGAAACATTGAAGATCAGTCATAAGCTAGCTATCATAAGTTCCTGACTGGCTTGTGGTGTTAGCGGTTAGCTCATTAGGTACAATAGCTCCGACATGGAAACACATTAACATAGATCCAAGTGTTTACTCGCTACTTTCCGGTGTGACGAGGTCTTTTTTCTGATAAACACATTTGCAACAATTTTTGGCTCTCGACAACTCTGTGCCGCACTAGCATGTCGTCTCCGCTAACTCCCGCCTCTCCGTGTGTATCTGTGGCTTTAAGAGAAGAAAACGATGCAGCATGAGCAACAAAGACTTTAGCTTAAAAACCCATAACAGCAAACACTCAACTACTATTAACAAAATGATTCAACAAATTGCTGTACAAGCCCCGATAACATTCAGGAGAGGTTGCAGGAGAAAAGAGATCGAAAAATACTAAGATATCCCAACGGAGCAGAAAAGTACAGGAAACACACCAGAAGACTCTTGCTGATTGGACAGTCGTGGACGCAGTCGGACAACGAGGGAGGGAACGGAGGTCGGTTGTGAGGGCATCGTCTGAAACAACTGCTGTGCACAAACATACAACACACCACACCTCCGCACTCACACTAAATTAACTCGTCCTCTCTTAAATGCTCGCGAGTTGCCGTTGCAGGCGGGCAGTAACCCAGAGAAGAAGAAATAGCACCAGTGTGAAATAAAGCTAATTCTGCAGCAGAGACTTTCACAGCAGTCAGACGTATAAACAACGTCTGACTGAAAACCAGAGGTCGGGTTCCCTCTGTCCTCTTCTTCTCTCCTCCGTCTTTCCTCACGTCTTTCTCTCTCGTCTATATTCCCTCTTCTAAAGCATCACTCCATCGATTTAAATCAGACAACAGGAAGAAGCTACACACACACACACACACACACAGACACACACACAGGGAGTTGTTTCAGACAAAGACCATCCAGGATGACACTACATCGCCCCTCACCACCACCCCCCCTCCATTGGGTCATCTCCACCTCTGTCCACCTCGTTTTTTGGTGTCGGTTCTTGTCGTCTTAGTCATTTTTACTTGATCAAATCATTCCTCCGTCCGTCTGATCGTTCCTCTCCTGTGTTTTCTTCTGCTGTTTGTTTGTCGCTTTTGGCACTCTGCTTTCCCCCCCGACTGGATTACATAAACTGCATCTGAGACGACAGAGAGAGAGAAAATGTTTGTTTGGATCATTTCAACAAACATAATTTATTGAAAACCACTTTGCCTGGAAGTCAGAAGAGCAGGACTTCCACATGTTGTAAAGCACGGCAGTGAGACAGACGTAAAATAAAGAAGGACCACAAGTAGAAGACAACTTCCTTTGTACAAACATGAAGCCAAGACATCTGTGCTACTCTTTTCTGAGGTTGAAACTTATCCCTGACCTGCTGAAGCTTCACGTAATGAACAGGACCTACTGGGTACAAACACTGACACTGAAATTAAATAACAGACCAAAGTAACACAACTGTTTAAAATGACCAGTGAAAACACTTTATTGCAACAGGTGTAAATGTTAATCCCTCGGAAACTGTGTGCTGATTTAAGCTGCTATTTTATAACAGCACCTTATTTTTTATTATAATTTATTAAAAATCAACGTGATCCTTTTGGTATTTGCGATAATCACATAAATACAGGTTGTTTTTAAATAATCAGTTTTGTGCTTCGTCTTTGATTTAGTTTAAAGTGATGGATTTACTGTGGGACGTTTTTAAAAATCACCTGGGCTCCGGGCATGGGTGCGAAGGGGTTGGTGGGTCTGAGAACAGGCTGGTTGTACATCATTGGCTGAGGAGCCATCACTGGTACCCCGCCCATCTGACCCATCTGGGGAGGGACCTAGAGAAAGAGGGGAAGAAGCGGAGGTGGAGAACGATGGAGGGGAAAGAAAACAAGAAAGAACCGAGCAAGTCAAATGGAGGTTTGGTCTCTTGTGTTCACGGTGATCGTGTGCGTTGATTTGATGCTTTTTAAACTGAAAATCTTTTGGATTGTTGCTTTGAAAACATGTTTTCACCCTAAAAAAAACAAACAATAACAATAAAAAGTCCTGCACACACTCACCATTCCATACACAGGCACTTGCGGTGTGGTCATGGGGAAAGCCATGGGAGCCGGAGCCTGGAGAATAAGCACAAATCTACTTTAAGCAGGTGGAAAAAGCAGCGGTGGCTGCCAGCACGACAGAAACCTCACCTGAGTCACAACAACTCAGAAATCAACTCACAATTAGAGTGTCTTTATTTCTGACTGACATCTCCTCCGTCCCCATTGTCTCGCTGAACACAATAACTAAAGCACACCCGTCTGTACTGTAAGTGCAAGGAGAATATATTCGATGCTGATAAAGTGTGTGCACAGTAGGAGCACAACAACCCAGCATGCAGCAGAGGTACTTAGTGGAATCCTACTGGGAGCAATCATTACTGGCGCTTTAACAGGGGCGGCTCAATAGGACAGCGTTTAGCCCTGCCCTCCTCACTTCACAAATCGAACACACTCCAGCTGAACGGGCCTCAAACTCAACCCGACGGGCAATTTGCCGTCGTTTACAACCCACGTCTGCGTCGATGCCGCTGATTCCTGCTCGACAAATTCGATATTTATGCGTCCGCGGTACGTTAAAGCATCATGTCGGACGAACGTCTCAGGAGGAAAAACCCTTTACAAGATGAGACGTGAAGATGCACGGCGAAAACTAAAGTATATACAACGAGTGTTAAGATAAACAGATGTCAGACGAGTTATCTAAAGACGGCGGTAATTTCACAGCAGAGTTACAGGCCCTGTGACAACCTCTGAAAAAACCAACAAATGAGAATCTTTTTCTTCATTTTTTCCCCAGTGGGGAATACCTGCAAGCATCTGCGCATTACAAGATAAAACCCAGCATGACCCCCCCCCCTCCCCCCCAACATGTGCAGTATTTGCTGCAGTCACAAGTTCAGACTGTTCTGTCGCAAGTTTCCCACTATTTTTTGAAAACCTCATTAAAAGCAGCTTGCAGAAACATGCTGCTGCCTTCACGGACCTAATCCATCATCGTGAACACGACTTAACACACGACTTTATAAAACGCTTCACTCAAAGAGTGCGTAAGTACTTCCACTCTGCTGGACAAAGAAGTTGAGGAGTACAGAAAACTTGTACATAATACACAACGGGTCCTTAAGTTTCCACTGAACATCATCGTCATTAGTTTTCTGTTGACGTCACATTTTACCTGCTACTTACGCGACGACACGGTAATGAATGTTTGTAAGAAGCGGCAGGTCACGGTGGTGGATCTTCATAAAGAGTGTAAACTGTATTTTATCATTGTTGGATTTGTCTGTAAACAAAACTGCTGTTATCCTCGTCAGTCGTGGGAAAAGGGAAACATTGAATTTGGTCCCTTGGCTGTGAATACTGTGTCATGTACTGTTACAGTCGGATTAAGGGTTTGAGGTTTTCTGCTTTAGGTTGTTGAAGGATCTTAAGTTTGGTTTAACAGGATGAACTAGACGGGAACTTTCTCATTCGCTGCACACCTCTGACTTTATTCACTTTTGTTTACCATTCTGAATCTGCTTTCTTAACTTAATATGTCAGAATGTCTCACGTCAGACAATTGTCATCAACCAATCTATAAATCGGTCAGGGGCTATTTCAAGAAAAATATTTCCTGTTGAGTCAGTCGTCCTATTGAACTGATCTCTGGGGGAAATCAATACGACGGATCGGGTTTCTGCTTTTAATCCCAGCCTCCAGGGAGAAGCTTCTGAATTCAGTGTTAACTCTCAGAGCAGCTGCCGCAGAGGCGAGAAATGAATCCCACCTGCACCCGAGCATCGCCGCTCCACTTAAACTGAGCATTTTTGAACCTGTGCAAAAAATGACAGCGGGCATCGTTCCACGTTAATTTAGAAGATTGACAAGGTGATGTCTGGGAGAAAACCGCGGCAGGTGTGGTGACATTAATGCAGCGCTACACCTCCGTCAGTGTCAGTCCAGCTTTAACATTCACCTGCTTTGGTCTGTATCAGTCTTTTTATTTTTTCCTTTCCCTCTATAGTTTTTTTTAAACATAGTTCATTCTGGGTTTTAGCGATTCAGAGCTGAACTTTTGCAACTCCCTTTGCCATCTGCCTCTTAAGGCCACTTTCTTTTTTTCCCATCTTTAAAGTCAGACAACTGACCTGAAACGACCTGCACGTGCAAGTGAAGGATAAGTAAGTGAAAAGCTTTGCAGGATTTCCCACTGGCATTTTAAGTATCAAGCGAGCGGAGACCGTCACAACCTCACTGTGCCGTGAGAACCTCAGATATGGTTTTTATTTATGCCGGTGATGCATCATAAGCCGCTCTGCTACCTGTGATGCACTGCTATGACTTGTTTATTGTGTAAACAGGTGGCGTCTGCTGCTTTTAGACTTTTACAACAGTCACAGTTGAGAGTTTATTTCTTCGGGACAAACATGAGAACATTAATAATTTCTGTCTCCAAGCAACATGAATTCAGTTCACGGCAGACCACAGAATGCTAAGACTTAATAACTGCCACATTATTTGCATCGTGCTTTTTGAATTTATCCCCAAAAGGCAGAAGTTTCAAACGTCTGGAAACAAGATCTTGACCCGTTTGATCCATTAGCACACGCTGATGTTTGACAAAATGTTCTACAGTCCCATAAAAACAGTCGTCACATGACATCAAATTTTACATAATGCACTTTGAGCATTTCCTGCACGCACTGGAAGCCGTGGACCAATCACAACAGAGAGGACCAGCCGGCCAATCAGAGCATTACTGGTCAAAGCCAACCCATAAGACTCTTGAGTAAATAGTGCGTCAACCCTTCAACTCAAACATTTCATACATAGATGTGAACACAACTGTTCAATATCACAGGTTTCCAGGCTTTGTAAGATTTTTAAATCCAGCCTTTAAGGTTTTGTTGGTTTAAACAAATAAATTGAAATCGATCTTTCAAATAGAGTCTGAGAGGAGAGACGCACGGGACGGGAAGGTACAGACGAGAAGAGACAACACTGACTTCCTGGAATCAGCTCTTATTTAACCAGTGCAGAACACGATGCCTGAAAAACAGAGGTGACGTCTTTTTGTGACATTTTTCTTCAAGGAATTCAATTAAAAGAAATAAGGTGACAGAGAGGGATGAAGAGGAAGTTGGCAGGAGGATAGAAGCACATAAAAGAAGGTATTTAGCAGGTCGTTAAGACTGAACAGGGATAAGTACTTACATAACTAGTATAGAACATTCCATTCTGCATCAGGACGCAACAGGGAAAAAGACAAAAGACAGAGAGAGAGAGCGAGAGAAAGAGAAAGGAGGACGAGGAGAGTTAGCGACAGGGCGAGAGTTAAAGAGAACCCAAGAAGATGAGCGCGAGGTGATGAAAATGAGTGTGAGATGATGAAAGAGGGAGGCAAAGAAAGAGAGCATGACGAGATAGAGACAGAGAGAAAGGTAGGAGGGCGACAGAAAGAGTTAGAGAAGGAAATAAGGGAGGTCGATGTCAGAGAAAGGAAACGGGTTTGGAATATAAAGGTGAAGAAGAAGAGAAAAGGTATATGAATGAGTGAAAAATGTGAAAAAGTAAAACCGAAAGGTAGAAAGACAAAACGTAGGCAAAAAGAGAACAGGAGGATGCAAACGCAACAGAAAGAGAGAACAATAGACGAGGGGTCACAACAGGGACGTGCAGATGTCAAGGGCAGTGTAGCGAAAACAGGACGGAGGAGATGACAATGCAAAACACAAGTCGCAATAAAACAGGAACACGAGCGAAGACGGGAAGGAAGACGAGTGGATGACAGTGCAAAACATGAGGTGGACGAGCGGGACAGGAATGAGAGATTAGAGGAGGTGACAGACGGGGTGAAGGTGGTGAGGGAAGAAAGAAAGGAGCAGACCAATAGGAGAAGGAGAGACAGAAAAAAGAGAAAATGACAGATATTGGAGAAAGAAAGGAAGAAGAGGGTTAGTGACAGTTTGTCCTCGTCAGCAACAAACGACACACACACACAGCATCATATCTACACTAAACTTTCATCTATACACAAGTTACAAATACTCCCATGCACACAGCTCATTCTGTGTGTGTGTGTGTGTGTGTGTGTGTGTGTGTGTGATAAAACAGTTCTAGATTTTATTTTTTTAATGTTTTTTTTGTATTAGTAAGTTTCCATTATTGTCAGAATTGTAATTGAGGCTTGATATTTAACAGTGTAAACTTTAATACAAATAACGATTATTTAAAAAAAACTAAACAAATACCCAAATATACTGAACTTGAATTAAGAAAATAAACATTTGCTGCAGCGATTATTCTGTAAAATAAGAGTTAATATCTGCAAACACGGCTCTGGTTGGTGTAAACGTCAGAACTCTAGTTTATCACTTTCACAGTGTTGGACTGACGACACTGCGTCAAGTCCAGTTTCACACGTGATCGGTCACATGACCAGACAGACTGGAGACAATCGGTGTCTAATATTAATTTATAAATGTATTTAAATCCCTTTCAGGGACATTCTCAAGCTGTAGGACATTGTCTCCTCACCACGTGTTGTACAGGCATGGGCTGTGGGGCCACGGGCGCAGGGCTCCACTGTGTGGTCGACATGGTCTTGTTCTGCCAGTTCTGCCCCCCCGTCAGCTTCTTCTCTCCAGGCTGGCTCCACTGCATCTCTGGCCTGGGAGACGGACGAGCAGGGCGACAAAACGAGGGGGTCAGGGGGGGGTCACGTTTCTCATTTTCAACTCAAACATCAAAATCAAGCCCTGGCAGCATCTGTTTTTATCTGAATTTCAGAAACTTAGCTGCCTTTAGCACATGAGACCATTTAAACACTTTGACAACAGAGTGAGAGGGTGAAGCAGGAAGGCGTATTTGCTTTGCCACCGTCTACAGCCTCCCACCTGGACAACAAAAGAACAATTTAAAAAAAGGAATCTCAACTCAGGACACTCACTTCTTGGCTGGAGTCCCACCGAACTGCAGATCTGAGGAGGGACAGAAACCAGAGGGATTCAGTGGTCATAATTTAAAGAGAGAAGTGAGTTTCATATTATCTTTTTAAACTGCTGTGTAATATTAAGATGATTTTAATCTGATGTCTTTATGAAGGAGCTGGTTATGGTTATGTTGGATTATTTCGTGTTAAAAAAAAAGAAAACAATAAAGACACATTTCTGCCACGTGAAAGCAAAATGGCTTCTCTACAGTTTTACCACCAAGTAAAACATGTGTTTCTGAAAACTCACTGCCCACAAGGTTGGCCAGAGAGGAGTCGAGGTCGTTGGCTAGCAGCTTTCCTCCAGGATGGATGGTCATTTGAGGTGGAGGTGCGGTGTGTGCGTGAATTGTCGGCTTCAACAAGTCTCCGAGAGCATCGAAACCTGGAGGAGAAATACACTCAAACATGTAAATACAGCGGGAAAAACTAGGGCACGATACACAGAGGGATACAGACATGGAGGTTAGTGCAGCATCAAGACACAGAGGAAAGACGTGCAGGCAAATCTGACTGAATACACACCGAGTATCGTTCACAAGACAAATTATGAAAACATTTGATAGAATTGTTCCAGACAAAGCCACCAAATCAACGACAGAAACAAGGAGGCACAGCAGGCAGATGTTCACACGTTTGTTAAAATGCTCATCATGTGTTTTATTGCAACTTTATTCAGTGAAAGAAAAACACGAGACTGGTTTTACACAAATGTTTTATTTCATTTTATGTCAGATGCAATCGTCAGATAGCTCACTTAGTCGCAGTTGTAACGGAGCCATGCCTCCGAGGGCAGGGAGCATTTCATTAGACAACTATGACACCGAGTTCCCTCATCGCACCACATTTTAATTCACTGGATCTGGATGTCTCATAAACATCAGTCCCTTAACGACGCATGATTTTCTCATCGAAATCCACGATTCCGTGAGAAAAACAGCATAATAGTTGAAAAACACTCTCCTGCAATGTTACGTTTCAGTTAATTCTCCTGTAGGTGTTTTTTCACCAACAAACAAACAAACATATGAAAACTACTGCAGAGGTAATTAGAAGTTGATGTTAAATTCAATCAAGCTGCACCACATCACACACTCATAAACATCAGTCCCCTAATTATGCCACAGTTCTTAAAGCAAGACGCATAAATTATTCTGTAAGAAAACAGAGCAAATGGCAAAAAGAGTCAAAATCTTACATAAAGTGTTTTAATGGGTTCGTTCCGGACAAGTTTAGTGGAAACTGATCTCGTGTGATCTCGCTGACAAACAAACCAACAAACCGGTGAACAGGTATCAGAGTACCAAGGTGCACCCCCAACCACGACAACACAAGTTAATTCATAATGCACATTTCAACAGGAAGGCAATTCAAAGTTCTTTTAATTAAATACGAAACATCAACATAAGTAGTAAAATAGACATTTTTAAATTGGTCACGTGTGGATGATTAATTAAGAGACAGTGCGGAGGAAGAAATGAGAATTTAATGTAAATTATCAGCACGTGTGTACTTAACGTCTGACGGCAACACGTGGCTCTGCTAGCAGTTAGCCTAGCCGAGTTAGCTAGCAGCTACGTTAGCTAGCGGCAGCGTTAGCCTACAGTTACCTTGCAGCCACCTCAACCTATAATGTACACAACCAAAAGGCTAAAGCTAATAAAAGTGAAGCCAATGTCCGAACAACAACGCAGAAGGAACCGGGAGCTAACCGGAGAGAGCAGCCGTACGCACCTGGTCGAGTCCTGCGGTGAACCGAGAGGACGAGCACGCGACGGAGACACGGGGCTCACTAATGAAACACCTGGTGACGCGGAGGGACGCACGTGCTTTTAATGAATCACGTGACGACGCACCTGCGCAGAGTGGGCGTGCACCTCCCCAGGTGTCCTGCCACAGAAACTGTGCCCGCGTTCACGGGAGCGCGCCTGCACTCAAAAAAACGACGGTGGAGCGTGATGAAGATTTAATTTAATTTATTTTTATAAAGAACAATTAAAACAAGTTGTTGGACCAAAGTGCTTCAGAGACAAGAGGACAAACTCAAATAAGACGGGAAGTAGAATCATTAAAATGAAAATAAAGTGAAACATAAGATATACAAGAATAAAATAACAGCTGCTGCGATGAGAACGCTCTGAACTCGAGGAACAGACGGGTTTTTAGTGATGATGTTATGAATACAACGTTTGATTCATGGTTATGAGGATTTGTGATGTATGGCTCAGAAATCAAACCAGACGTTTCTCAAGTGTGTATATTTCTCATTATAGATCCTGTAACTACAGTGAACAAGATCTTTATTATCCTCGGACTATGTTATATGGGGATACACATTTGTCTTTCAATGAGTAGATACTTCACGTTTGCTAAGAAATAAAGATCTCGAGGTTCCCACCTCAGCTCTCATCCTGATAAAAGTTCTCCAACATGTCCACTTCAACTTTAACTGTTTTACCGAAGCGGAGCTGAGAGGTTTTAATCTCAGAGTACTGCTGAGCTGTGCCTCCTTAACTCGAACCTGAATCTCACGGCCTGCCTTTCTGTTAATTTAATTCCTCCTGACCTATTTTAGCGTGTTCCGACACTGACAGAGATTCCTGTTTAAAGCAGAAACACTGCTCTTTGTCTTCACTGAAACAAAGCAGCCTCGTCCCATCAGCGGAGGCTATAATCCCTGACTCAGGAGCTTGCAGCAGTTGTTTCAGATGAGTGATTTATCTGTTGGTCGCTGTCATGTTCACGTTCTAAACAGTGATTAGTTTTGAACATGTGTGTGTGTGTGTGTGTGTGTGTGTGTGTGTGTGTGTGTGTGTGTGTGTGTGTGTGTGGGATTGTGTTTGTCCATGTCTGGCTGGTGTAGACAAGTAATTACCTGTGTGTGTGTGTGTTTGTGTGTAAGCACCTTTGTTAACAAGTTGTCAGTACTCATTCAGCTAATGGCTAGGTATCACTGTGTGTGTCTGTGTGTGTCTGTGTGTGTGCGTACTAGACCGTTTATTTTGAGGGCCGATATTTGGGAGTATATATATTAAAAATGCCAATATATGCTACGATTGATGCATGAAACAGAAATGTAATTGATATTTTACAGTTAAACTCTGTTCAAAATAACTCGAAATAAGAAGAAAACAAACATATAGATCTTAAATTAAGAAAAAATTAACCCCAAAGTAAAATATAAACATAAATGGTAAATCTTTTATGATGAAAGTTTTCATATGAGCAAACATTAATGCTGACACTGGCTCGGTTAGATTTCTCTCGGGCTTGCACAGAAAATTGTGGTCCGAGCCGAACCCACGCTGTTCTCCATAAAGAAAAAAAAAAAAATCAATACCTGCAGAAAGGAAGTGTAAACAAAGAAAAGACAGGAGCAAAGAGAACTGAAGATATGAATGAGAGAAAACTGCTGTAAATGTACGTGGATCTCTGCAAAAACCAGAGGAGGAGAAGAGGGAAAATAAAGAAAGGCAAAGGAGGGTGGAAAAAAAGAGGCAGGAATAATATTTAGTTAGGAAGCGGTGTGTTGGTCTGACAGTGGTGCTGACACAAGAGATTCAGAAAACACTTTTCCTGCAAGCTTAGCAGATGAGAAAAAGAGAGGGGGAAGCACACACAGACGGAAAGAAGTAGAACAGAGAGGAAGAGGAAAGTTGGAGAGAGAAGAAAGAGGAGGGGCAAATGAAGAAAGCAGCGGGAGAAAGAAACATGGCTTGGTCCTCTATCTTTTTAATTCTCCCGACTCTAATTTCTCTCCCACTGTCGGCATTTCCATTATTGTTGTCACGGAGATAAAACACTTTGGCAACGTGGGAGATTTTTTTTTTTTTGTTTCTTCGAGCTCCGTGTCAGTAAAGACCAGTGAATTGAACCGAGCGAGCAAGAGAAGAGAGGCGGAGATAAAAGGGGGGGGGGGTGGTTGGGGTGTCGGAGAAACAAAAAAAAGAAAAAAGAAACAGAGTGAAACAAGCCGTCTCAGTGCATCACACACACCACGGGGCAGCGACGGGAGGAGAACGGATGGTGGGAGACGGAGGGTGGAAGGGGAGGGAAGAAGTGGAGGTGATGAAGCGAACGCTGAGCTGGACGCACTGATGTGGGAGGATAACGCTACCAGTGTTAGTTTAGGTGTTTCAGCGATGGATTTGACAGTCCGCTGAGTTGCAGATCAAAGTGAAGGAAGTAAATCCATGTCAAGGGTTCAATTCCAACACGGTGGAAGGAAGAAATCTGCGACTTGCAGCTAAGTTGTGAGAGGAATTGAGAAAAGTTTGAATAATCTAAAACCGATTGCAGACACCGAGCGCGTGACTCTGCTGGTTTCATCAGTGAAAGTGATCAGTATTGTTACCTTGGCCTATATTTGAATATCAGTCGGCCAAGTTTTCTATAATTCAACTGCAGAAATGCAGTTTACGATGATAACGTGGGCGATTCACCGCTTAAAAAATATCTCGTTTTAAAGCCAGTGGGTGGTTGCTGTCAGACAGAGTTTCTTTTGTTGGATATCAAAGTCTGAATATCAAGATGGATGACACATCTCAATTTTCTCCCACTATCTCATAACACGTCTGTCTGAGCAGCTCAAGACGCCTCACCACGTTTTAGTGACGTGTCTGAAAGGGACGTGAACAGATGTCCTCACATACACGGTGAACAAAGGGAGGGAGCAGGTGAGAGACAGATCAGAGGTGCGAGTTAAAGCGCTGTGGTTGTTTTAACACAAAGACGAACAGAGACAGACACTGAGGAGGTTAATACGATGGAATGAAGATGCATCGATATAAGCAGAGACACAGAAGACACAACTTTAACTGCTCAGCAGAAATAATGATATTAGCAAACTGTGAAAGCTGATTTTTTTTTTTAAAGAAACAAACTAAGAATCAGAATATAGGATTCCTCTAGAGGAGGATACAGCAAATAACAAATGCAGCAAAACACAACATTTGCTCAGAATAAAGATAATAATTAAACACAAAAGGCCGAATGTGAATGGAAATAAAAGCAAAGAAGAGTCCGCAAAGAAAAACAGGGAGAAAAATAATTGCAGCGACTGTCAAAGTAAACAGAAGACAGACATTAATGATGGGAAATGAAAATACAGAGTTAAGAAAGCACAAACACACAAGCTTTAACACTGTGCACTGCTATTCACAACAACGTGATCTCTACAACAACGCCTCCAGCTTACTGTACACAAAAACCGAAAATTCAGATAAAGACGATGCACTCTGCGGAGGAGACGGAGACACAGCTCTTCATTTGTAAATGTAAAGAGGCAGAGAGAAAAGGAGGAGGAGGAGAGCAGATGGAAAGGAGTTGCCTGGGTGATTCTTGCCTTGTGAAGTGTGATGGGGAGACGATGAGGCAAAAACCGAGCGAGAGATGAAATAAATGGAGGGAGGAGGAGGAGGGAGGAGGAGGAGGGAGGAGGAGGAGGGAGGAGGGAGGAGGAGGAGGAGGTGGGTGAGGGACGGTGTGAACAACAACAACAAAACAAAACGAGCAGAAGCAGACAGATGGGACAATGACAGATGACGAGCGAACAGACACAGACGTGGACGCACACACACACACACACACACACACACACACACACACACACAGGGATACAAACACTTAACAAATATACAGACACGTGGACACACACACACAGATACACACACAGATACACAGATACAGTAGCTACACACATGCTGGGGATTTTTTTGTGAGATGCTGCCAGTGGCCCAGATGGTGTACTGGTGGTTTGTAGCTCTATTAATAGGAAGGAGTTATTCTGACTAAAGCTTGAGACAAACTGCACACCGGAGCCACGAGCCTCCAACTGTTACTGCCGAGCATCGCAGAAGAAACCGAACCCGAGGCTCCGGAAAGATTTACTGGAACACAAAAGATACTGATTTACATTTGCATTCAACTAATCGGGCTAATTGTTGATCTGGAACGAATACCTTGAGAATAAGATAACAAGCGTTATCGTTCATGGTCCAAGGAAGTGCGTTGTCGAATTTGGTTCAGTGTGTAGAATTTAGTGACATCTAGTGGCGAAGTGTTGTGGTGCAGCGGAGTGCCTCTCACCACAGCCAGGACGAAACACTCGTGAAAACATCAATAGGATTATTTTATATTTAATTTCTGCCAGTAGATCCTTTCACCTGAATCTTACGCACTGAACCATTAATAGAAATTGAAAATGTGCAAACTGGAAAAAAAACCCTGAATCTTGGACGCACAACTTCCCTGAATCTAGTAACACTAACTTTAACAATAACGTGACGGTAATTCATCAGATCTCATGATTTAACGACTTTTCCCAGACAAACCAATCAGTTAGAACGACTTCTGGCACGAAGCGGCCGGTGGATTAACTCCGGTGAACGACTGATTGAGACAGCGTCTCTATGAAAAAGACCCTGAGCTACAGAAAATGATGGGAACATGAGGATGGGGGGGTGAGATGATGTTTTCAACAAGGCTCTCCTCTGAAAAATCTAATTCAACAAAACCCAACTCTCAGCTCCCTGCTCCTCGTTCCCCCTTCATCTCATGATGAAAAAAGTCTGCGGATGACCTCTGCAGGAAGTCGCTGTTATCTGCTGTGCCGTCGATAACTCACCGTGCCTTAAAAATTATACACTCCGCCGGAGCTTCTCGGGACCAGAGAGGCACCGAGATTGATCGTGTCAGTTGCTGAGAGGTTAAAAGAAAGTGAGCTAATAAGACGGCCCGGAGCCAAAGTCTCCGACCGGCAACGCTTAAAAGCCATCAGTCGAAAAGCTGGTGCCATTACAGGCTGGACAGCACAACAGGGCAGGATTAAGTAGTTTGAGGAAAGGTTCGCACACATCGTCTGCTCCTATCATGACTTTTAGATGTTCTCACTGGACTCAGAGATGCTGTTGGTGGTTAAATGATGCAGTGTCATAATAGAATAAATAAGAAAAACATCGTGGAATCACACAAAAAGAATCTGTTACAGAGCTGGGATCAGTTCATTTCTAATTCAGTCCAGTGAAAACAGAACCCTGAGGACACAAGAGATTCTTACTTTAATTGAATAAAGTTATTTCTCTGACACGAATCGCAAAATTTAAATTCAAATGACAGTTCAACTAAAATTTTACAAAGTCTACAAGGGAAGTTGATGAGATGGGATGTTGAGTGTTTTTCTGAACATTAATTCTAACTTTTTTTTATATCCAGGTTATCAACTGATAAAAACTGATCTGACACCAAGTTCTTCTTCTCGTAACTTTAAAATCCAGCTGAATTTTAAATGAACTGACCCCGCTGACAGAGTTTTGTCATCAGAAACCTTATAATAATAATAATAATAATTCAAGGTTATGTGAAACACCCGCCGAGTTTTCAGAAACAGCCACAAGTTGCAGGAACAAGTCAGAGGGTTAGTTAAAAATGCTCGAGCTGCCAGCAAAGCCAAAAGGTTTTAGTTTTCAGTTAGGGATCCGTCTGGACAGTCAGACAGAGCAGGCTTTTTTTACCGGCTGCAGGTTGTGGGCCGTTGTTACTGGGTTCAGCTTTATTCCCAAACACAGCATCGAAATCTACGGTCATGGTCGGTGCAGTCTGCTGGCTCTCCAGTCCTGAGGGATGCAGTTAAATATGACACATTAAAGTTTGTGCTGTGGAAGCTGCATGAGATCAGAACCTTTGAAAAGAAAAATAACTGGATACTCAAGGAGACATACGTGTTTGTTTGGGGTTAGGGTTGTCGTCTGTGCGTGTAAACGTTCTACTAAAAGTCTGCGGTAAAGGGCGCTGCAGAAAACACCTCATCGGTCGACTGACCAACAACTCCACAGTGACATCACAACGCCGGACACAACAAAGCTCGGGCTGCGTTCAGCCTGGACAAAATGTGGCCACAACGTGGGTCGTACGCAAGAGATGCAACTACGGCAGCTGAGAAGTCCAATCTTGACGTTCTCGAGAAAGACGAAGACAACAACGAGCTGCTCGTAAACCACATCCAGCAAAAGTGTCGTTCAATCTGGAAACCAAAGCAAAACTGTGCCAAAGATTGAACGTGCCTGACGTAAAGCGAGAACAGAGGCCGACTTTACTATGACGCTGAAAACAATCGACCAATCACAACAGAGGAGCCAGCTGGCAAATCAGAGGGGGGGGCATTAAAGGGACGGGAGCTAAAATCAAGTGTTTCAGACAGAGGCTGAAATGAGGAGCTGCAGCATTTACTGAACACGAGACCGTGCAGACCTTCTCAAGTAATAACACTAATCAATAATTATTAATCATGAGCCTGAATACAAACATATTTAACTGGAATTCAAAAGAGAACGTGTGACATCAAACTTTCTTTTCTTTACAGGGACCAAAATAACAGCTTTGAAGTGGCAGAGATTCCACCACCTCCAGCTCAACTAATCCTGTTAGATGAGGAACATGAACCTTACAGTCTGCAGCATACTGCCATTGTTGTTGCTGAGTAATTTGGGAGTCTGTGTGAACGTCAGGAGAGTTAAGTCTGCGAACGAGGAAATCCACAGATGCACCTTTTGTTTTTTTGTCTTCATCCGCATCCCTGTCGGGGATTAGGGTGTGAAACCTCGGAGGGAGGCTGCGTTTGTGCGATCCACACAAAACAAGAGCACACGACACAGTGCACCACATTGGATATTAATAAACATGATGTCGGCGTTACAGCGAAGCTTTCAGGAAACACAACGGGAATGAAGCCATTCCGACAAGTGACAGACTAAACTGAACATGACTAAACATGGCAGGCAGAAAATAGAATTGCAATAAATGTGGTGAGTAAGAAATAACCCTTTTCTATCGTGACATACCAAACTAGCACATTATCTTCAGTGTGTAAAATGAAAAACAAATACAGAACCTGTATTAAGATCATAAAACATTAATGTATCCATCAAAACTAGATGTGTAAATGAACTGTACCGTTATTTTATTCTGTGAGATAAAAGCTTTCATTGCAGCAAACATGAAACCACATACGTCAGAAATCAAACATATGTTTTTCCCGAGATAAATTCCGATATTTAATTTAAACAAGCGTGTCCTCTGTCTGCTGCCGGACAGAGACGTCATCAGTGTCTTGTTTATTTACGACCTCGGTTCAAAGTTTCCTTTGTGTCTTTCTGAGAGAAGCTCTGGGGATATTTATCTCAGCTCCTGTGTCAGAGCCACTGATAGAGCGAAGGGATGATATCTCAGCTAAGACTCTGAAGTCTGGACCCAACTCTTTATCAATGGCTTCAGTTTAATCCTCTGTCATAAAGCCTGTAATACTCTGCACCAACTGCTGCTCTGGATTCATCTTTCCGCTCCCGCTTTGATTTGAGAAAACTGATTCCGAGCTGAAATGTCAGAAATAAAGGATGTTTGAATCTGAGGTGACATTTCCACACACTGGTTTACTGCTCGGGACATGGACTGTAAATAAAGATGGATGACGATGAAGCCACAGTCTGTGCAGTAGCGGTCGCGGAGTTGAGCCCAATCGTGTGTCATGTCCCGTCTGCTAACATGGAGGAGAGCAGGTTTATTACCTAAACTGCAGCCAGCCACCAGGGGGCGATGGAGATGTTTTGCCTTCACTTTAGAGCAGCTGAGAAGTCATCCATCTTTGTTTACAGTCTATGGCTCGGAGTGTGGACACGTGGTTGTAGGATTGATTATTTTACTGTTCAGAAATAAAAAACGCTTTCACCCAGAACTCATTCAGCTGTGTGTCTGCACATGAGACACGATCTGGGTTACGCAACGTCTGTTTCTGAGGGAACGGAAGACGTGACCGGGTCGGATTTTCATAAAAAAGACAAATGAACAGTCTGACAGATGGATGGTGAGACATGTACACGAGTGGCCAGTGGGGATATTTCTGAAATAGATTAATTAATGTGAGTGTGTGCTGGCAAAAGTTTCTCTTATTTGCTTGTCTGCTTCCCTGCCGGTGCCTTCATATATATGTAAATACAAGTGTGTGTCTGTGTGTGTGTGTGTGAGTGTGTGTGTGTGTGTGTGTGTGTGTGTGTGTAGGTAACGTACCTCCCCAGGCACTGTTGGCGGTGGAGATGGAAGGATTGCTATGCACAGCGGGGATGAAGGCCGGCTGAAGATCAAACAGGTCACTGTTCAGATTGGGCACGCTGACGAGTGAAGGAGGCAGAGAAAGAGGGATGATGAGAAAAAGGGACGAGAGAGAGAAAAGAGAGGAGAGGGAGAGAAGAAGTTCACAGTGACGAGAGTAGTGATGGAACCAAAGGGAAACAAATCAAGTGAACAGGTCAGTGACAAGAGAACAGGAAGATACAGAAAGACAAATGAGGTAGAGCGTAAACATTAATCAATTACGGATAAATAGCTGAAGCCACAAGTACAAATGTTCATTTGTCACAGATAAAGATTCACTCTCTCTCTCTGAAGGCCTGTAAAGATTGGCACGGAGCAATAAAACAGTTATGAGCAGTAATTTACAGAGCGAGTTAGAGTGTGTGCATGTTGAGGATTATCAATGAATGAATAGTTTCACTGTAGCTCTGCTGGTCTGGGACGTGTTTTAAAACTTAAACACAAAGCGTGTTCGTCGCCCTGCGAGCTGCACGAGGAAGCCGGTGAATCCGGAGCCTGACAGAAAGCTCCAGAACCTGTGATGCCACAGTCTTCTGCCATGAAGTAGTTAATCAATCAATCAATCATAAGTAGTGGGGGGGGGGGTTTATGCTTATTCGGCAAGGTCTTAATTATTCTTGACTTCTAACGCTCCGCAAAGTCTTGTGCATTGAATCGTAGATTATGAAAGAACCAAAATATTCCGCAGTCAAATTAATTTTGTCCTCTTCCGCTGCTGCAATGACCTATTTTTTTTCTGTCTATCCATCCCTCTTTGTATCTGTGTTAATTATTCAATAACTCAAAAATTAAAAGGACTTATTTTAATTAATAGAGAATGCCGACGCTCTTTTGTATATTTGTCACTGAGTGAGTGTGTGTGTTTGTGTGTGTGTGTGTGTGTGTGTGTGTGTGTGTGTGTGTGTGTGTGTGTGCACCTGTTGGCAGACAGCGTGGAGCTGAACAACTCTGGGGTTTGTGTGATGTGGTTGTTGTTGGCCATGCCTATCGACTGGCTGCTGGGGGAGGCAGAGGGCGGAGTATGCATGTTGATTTCCTTCAGGCGCTGGTCCTGAGAAACAAACACATAAATACACATGAAGAAATCCATAAAGAAAAACGCACAGTGGGATCGGGACAAGGGTTAAACTTTAATTTCCTCTCAGAGTTTTCTTTCCATTAAACTCAAGTCCTGGAAAACAACACACACACGTGGACACACATAAATGTATGAAAACACCCAAAGTCAAGTGATTTAACTTTTCTCCGGAGCACGTGTTCAACACAAGCTGTCCGGTGAAGTCTTGTGTGGAGCATTGAGCTTGAATAAAAATAAGACTCCAGATCCAGAAACTGAAGCCAAAGGGCGACTCCACTGATTGAAAGAAGTTTCACAGAAGTTACTTCTCCATAGATTTATAACGTCAGTAAAAAACATTTTCCAAGTGAGATTAGGTCTCGATCTCTAGTTTCAACTCTTCGTCCCATTTAGAATCAAACAGACCATAAAGCGCTGTTTATACAGGGGTGTGTATACCTAAGTCAGGCTCCACCCCCTTGCTCCTCCAAGATGGCGCTGGACGAAAGGCCAAACTCAAGACTTTACCACGTCAGCTCACAGACCAACGTGTGACGTCACAGTGTGAAGTCGTGCAGCTCACTGTGAAGCAGTTACTCTAAAAATAACCCAGCGTTGAGTCATCGTCGGGGAAAAGACAAAGGAGAAGTTGAAATGCGTTTGCTTCGGCCGTATTCACAGAGTTTCTGGCTTCTGGACTGAAGACTTGGAGTCAGGCCCGCATCCAAGTGAATTAACAAAAACTCATTTGCTCGGTTTCTGCTGCCAAGGTGTGTTTTTAGTGCCGGATTCAGCGTGCACGACATAATGACGGACAATTAGCTTCAAGTGCTTTAAAACACACCAGTTATATTGGTTTCCACAGAGAAATCCGACCCCTAACAAAACATTGTGTGAATTTTTGAACAGGATTTGACTCAGCTGCACCTGGCTCTCAGCAGAACAGAGCCCGGGTCTCTCCGGTGACAGAAACACAAACATCAGCAGAGTCCAGCAGCAAAATATAAAAAAGTGTGATGAAGCCAAAACTAAGGAAGCGCATGAAGCTGTGAGTGTCACTGAAGAACGATGTATGGAAACAGATCAATCAAAACATGCTTTACATTTTTAAATCTGCCGTTCGCCCCCTGGTGGCTGGTTGCACTATAAGCAACAAACCCCGTCTCCTGCATGTTAGTGAATGGGACACGGACCAAGGTTCCCATCGCACTGACGTATGTTCAAAAGGTTTGTTTTCCTGATAGGCTTCGGTTGCTTGACTGATGAGTCACTGCGAGCACAGGATGCAGTTTTCTCAGAAACAATGGGTGCAGCTTCCGAGAGAAATACAGAATCCCTCGACTTTAACAACCTCTGGAATGTCCCTCCAGGAGCCGTACGAGAATCTCTGTCCTCAGTCAATAATGACATTAATTGGGGGGGGGGGGGGTTATAGACATGTCTTTAGAAATGGACTCTTGCCTCGAGCTCAATCCACTGCCTACGCTCGTCACGCAGCAAATGCTGGTTTGTGTTTCGGTCGGACTCCACGCCTCCATCACCAAGTCGTCCATCTTTCTCTACAGTCACGACCTGTGAAGCTCTGGACTGGTTGAATCTTTGATTTAGTTGTGACCGTGGAAAGAAAACCCACTGCTGATGTTTGCACGATGAATCAAATCCTGCTTCACTGTGTTAAGTCTCTCAGGTCTGAAACACAACTTCACAACAGTGTAGAAATCCCCCAAATTATGTTACTGCTGCTCCGAGACTCTGGGACTTTGAAGGTTTTTCCACACTTTAAAAAAAAAAAAAAAGAAATCTCCCTTCCTGCTCCAGACTTTTCATTTCTTGCATGAATTTTAACGCTTCGCTTCAGGGTCAGTTTGATTCACGCTGGTAACGGCAGAGAAATCTGACTCTCCACCTCCCTCGCACACACTGTGGTTTAAAACAACCCTGTGTGACAACAAGCTTTAATCATATATAAGACGACAGTGGGTTTAAATCTACATGAAAGACATGAAGCGTAGGTAATCCATAGTGGTTCTACTCTCAGTTCGTACAACATATTCAACCCACCAGGGCTGTTTGAGTTTCCCCAGAAGTGACTACATTATATTTTATTGCTCTGTTGATTGATTTTGTCATTCTCGCTGCTCTGTTGCTTATTTGTGGTGCTTATATCCCATCTGCCTATATTTCCCACTGGATCTTATTACCTTTGCTGCTGCAATGACCTAATTTCACTGCAGGGATCAATACATTTGAGTCCTATCGTATACAGGGAGGTGGCACACGGAAAACAATTTACCGAGCAGCAAAGGGTTTTCAGGAGGGGACGTTCACGGCGGGGGTTGAAACGCTGCCTCCGTGGTGTTTTTCAGTTCAAATCCCAAACTTTAAGGTATGGAAATGATCTTATTCCCTTTACAGCCCCTTGCATCTTTCAAGGAATTTGGTGTTTTGGCAGATTAATAATCAGAATCTCCTGCTGTACGAGCCTCAGCCGAGCGGAGTCTTCATTTATATTCTGACAGTGTAGCCAGGAACAAATGGGAACTGCTGTTATTGTTTGGGCTGAGGCCCCAGCTGGACAGTAGCTGACTGTGTAAGTGTTTCTATGAGTGAGTGTGTGTGTGTGTTAAGTCCGTATGGACACCAGGGCACACAGACAGAGTATTTGGACGACCCCTGCTAACCCCGGCTCCCTCGCTGTGTTTCTTACTCTGTTATGTTCTCGCTCTCACTTTATCTCCCCTCTCCTCTCTGGCTAAACCCAAAGGTAATCAGTGGACCTCGGCAGAAACAGGGCAACCAAGGGCACGGCTAAAATCCAATCAGCCGTGCACACAAACAAACACACCAAGACACACTGGCAGCACATACTGCGGCCTAATCTGCCCGGATATACACACGCCTCATACACACAGATCAACACAGCTCACAGATACTGGCATCGTGACTCCACACATACTGGATCTTCTCTGCCAGGATGCAAGCATGCTCAAAATGCACACACTCCCACGTGCACACCGCACACACACACACACGCGCACACACACCGAGGCGATGTGTAGCCCGTTTTGTAGCTTCACTGCTCTTACTCAATTACAGTTCGATGTAAGGCAGGACTCCCAAGGCTGGAGCAAGAAATGTCAACACATTTTACACTCCACTTTTCTATTGCTCAGCACCGAGGCTCTCGGCCTTTATCCTCAACAGGAGTTCAGCAAACAGCAAAGTTGCTGGGTAATCTGTCAGCGACAACCCAGCCGGCCCGATTCATACGGCAAAAGCAGAAGTGCAGCTATAGACGCACCGCAAATATATTTTACTTGTATTCACCGCTCTTGAAAGCGTTTGTCAGGGCTCAAGTGTGATGTAGCTGCTTCAGAGCTGCAGTTTACTCCCTGTGTGGGAGCGTGGTGTTGACTCCAGGACGGCGGCCGCAAGAAGTCGCGTAATTTTGAGACGATTCCTGTGATGTGGCTCTTTAGTTCAGGAGATCGAGTTCCTCTACGGATCCTCAAAGTTCTGCTTCTGCACTTTCTGTTCGCTGCAGTAAATGACTCATTTCATTATTGACATGTTTCACACTGTCCCTGTTTTCAGGCACCAGGTCATTCGTTCTGTTTACTCTGGCTCATATGAAGAAATTTAATACAAATAATAAAAATGACGTCTTAGTTTTGTTATTGATCACTTCATTTTTCAAGTTTTTAAAAACATGATGTCACCTCCTCCTCATGTCTGTATTTCTATGCGTATCTTTAGAGTTTGGTGCATCCAGACATTTTCTAGCATCATGCAAAGTTAACCTAAAGTGAGAATACAGAAATTATTTACTGGGGTCAAAATTAAATTGTACGACCAAATATCATAAAATATCAGAATCTGTTTTATTGACCTGTTATAAACAGGGAATTTGACCTTGGTTCTCGGCTGCATGAATATATGAGCAGATACTGCTCCATAAAAATATGAAGTAATAAACTGCTTTACAAATGAACTGATTAATGTGTAAATAAAAATAGAGTAAATACCCCAGAATTTCCTTCTTTAATATTTAATGGGTCATAAAAAGAGAAATTATGAGATAATTTTCCAATCAAATATTAATCTCTCAATAAGTAGTTTAAATTAAAAGAGGGATTTAAGAAAATAACATAAAAAAGTCAGTAAGTACATCGTTTAAAAATACATTATTGACTTCATAAATAAGTAATGGAATATAAAAATCTGTTTCAAAATGCAGTTTAAAAGAGAAGTAAATAAACTTTTTAATCAGGCATTTGAAAGTGGCAGTTTCTTTTTTACATTTCCCTTCTGCTGCTTTTCCTATGAGCCATTTTGAAAAGCTCATCAAATCCAGTAACGTCCAGTAAGGGGAAGGAAAAAAGTGTGAGAACCACGGCTGCTGGTCTTTCTGCTCCTGCAGCGTCTGACCGGGTGAATAATTTGTTTTAAAAGTAGAACACATCTGTTACCTTCAGAGCATGCAGTCTGGCCTGCTCCTCCTCCAGGGCCTGCTGCTTCTCCTTCTCGTCCATGCGGCTGAAGGACATGCCGGTGGAGGAGAGAGATGAGACGGCGCTGGACAAGGTGGACGCTCTGCAACAGAGTAGAGGAAACAGATTGATGATAAGCTTTAAAATTCTTCTTTTTTTTCCCCCCCACACACACAGTTTTTTTTTGGCTGATTCTGAAGTCAGATACATGCTTCCTTGGAGTCATATATTTAAAGAAAACTGGCTAAGGGCTGGAAATGAAGATGTCTACCTGGTGTCTGCGTTCAGCTCCTTGGTCTTCTTGCCCTCCAGAGAGGCCAAGTGCTGCTCTAGAGCCTCCAGGAGGCTGCTGGGGGCCTGAGAGAGAACGACGAGAGCGAATGAGAAAACAATTCAGTAAAAATCTCAACTTTCTGCATCTCTCATGTGCACAAGAAACCCACCTACACACGCATACAGTAACACACACACACAAACACACACACAAACACACAAAGAAAGCACCCAGGAGTTAGTTGGTCTCACAGGAAGGTAGCAGAGTGCATCGGGTTCCAAGAATAGCCATGTCAACATGCAGCAAACACTAACAGCGTTAGCGGGAGACTCAAAGGAGAGAGAGAACAAAGGAGGAGGTTGAAAAACAAAGAGCGAGGGAAAAGGTGGAGCGCGGAGGAGAGGTCGCACCGGTTCCTTCTCCCGACTTCTCATGAGCAGGAGGCGATAGATTCTCACTCATCTTCCCTTTGTTGTGTTTCGTCTCTTTGTCTCAAACACACCGCAGCATCCCATGACACGACCGAACAACAAGCGTCCGGATGAGCTCCGTGCAGCGGAGCCCCTGAAGATGTGGTTTGTCTTTCACATGAGAAGCAGAAGCAGCAGGAGATTGTCCAGGAACACGTGGGGGGACATTTAGACAAATGGTGGCGTCTGGGTAGAGACAATGCTATCGGCTCTTATCATGTGGTTTTTCCACGTTGACATCTTCGTCTTCTAAGTGCACGGTTCCACTTTTTCATTCTGAGATAATTGTATTCTGACAGTTTCTTTGTCTTCTATCTCTGTAAATTACTAAAGTGGAGTTTTCAAATGTGGCTTTAAGGTCTTTACCATATTGTGACAAACAGTTTCTACGATGAAATTCCAGCTTCGCATCCGTCACATGTCATCAACAACACGCCCACTCGCTGTGAATTTTCCCAACATTCCCTCTTTGTATTCTCTCGTGGGCTCGAACATTCTGCAAGGGGGCTGGCAGGAAAAGTTACGGAAAATATCTGCAGCAACTAAATCTCTACTGTGTTTATTCCACTTGGGGAAAGAGATCATTATCTTAACGTTTTACCTTTTCTTGATTACTCGACCAGAAAATAAAAGAGCGAAGGCCGAGAGTCTCTGAAAAGTGCTTTGTTGTGAGATGACATGAAGCAGCAGCATTAAAATGTCAGCTGTAATGTTCTGGAGGACAAGTAGGAGGGCAGGTTACTCTGGGATTTGTTGCTACGCTACGACAGAAAACACAATCCAGCATCAAATTCAAGTTGCGCTCCGATTGTTCGCGTTGCACAACACAAGGTCCTCAGCGCTCGTTAGGAGCCTCATTAATGCACCGAAACCGAGGGAAAGACGAGGGCGAGAAGTGAGGCGGACGGCTGCGTTGTAAAGTGTAAGATCAGAGTTTCTCTTGCACTCGTCTGCAGCTTAACACTGAGGAGGGAAAGAAAACGCTCCTCAGCCGAAAAGAGAGAGAGCAGAGGAAATTCTTCCACTGTGAAAATATGACAACGTCATGTCTGTCTCTCCATCCACAAGAATGTAAAGTCAGGAGGGCCGCGCACACACACACACACACACACACACACACACATTTGGGAGTGTTTGGCTTCCAAGCCCTTTGTGGCTGGCTAGACGGTGGGTTCTTGCCAAACTGTTGCCTGGTTGTTAAAGAAACAGACTCGCTGAGGAGAAAGAGACTATTTAACTGTCAGTGGGTTTTTGAAAAGGTGGAGAGAAAAAAAGCTCTTGTGTAAGTCCAGTCAATATTAGCTCTGACACACAAACACACACACACACTTTGCAGGGGTGTGCATGTTGTGAGCGAACATCTTATCTAAAGATATTTAGCTCTAACTGAGGAAGGCAGAGGGACGTAGAAAAAAAAAATCATGATGGATATAAAAAAAAATAGGAAAAGACAGAATCCCCCCCTTTTTTCGCTAACTCCTGTTTCCTTTTTATTAAACAATAATTACGCGGTACTGCCGGGAGGGTTAGTCACTATTAAAGCACCTCCACCATGCATGTTGAAGCAATGATGCCGTGCATGGGAACTGTGGAATAAACAACATCTAAGGAGGGGATGGAATTTAAATGAGAGAGTCCAAACCCAGTGCAGAGGTTTTTACATGCAGATGAAGACAGAGGGGTGAAGCCTCATTTTCTATTCATGAGGTTTCGTGCCCTTTTGCTTGTTGTGTCAGAGCTCAGTGTGTGTGTGTGTGTGTGTCTGTGTGTGTGCAACCCGAGGCCAACACATATACATATTCTACTGAGTCAACATCATGTCGCTCCACTCTGACAAGAAATAAAAAAACATACAAGGCATGCCTCTGAGTGCGTCAGGTAGAAGTGTGTATGGTTACACACACACACATACGTGACGCAAGGATGTTCATGCAGGGGGGGTGGGGGGGGGGGTTAAGCAGGCTGCAGGGGGTAAGCAGTACAGAACGCAACCCACCACCTACAATGTATGATCCTTTAGTTTTCTGCGACAGAGGAGGGAGAAGGAAAAAAAAAAAAAAAACGTCCATTTATCGACTGTGAGTGAACTGAGACGAGTTCGACAAGCACACAGTTAATTCACCCGTCGATAACGACCACGGTCAAGAAGAAGCAGCTGCCAGATCTACAGTTTATACTGCAGCCAGTCACCGGTGGGCTAACGGCGTGCAGGTTAATGTAGCGTCCAGTGTGGCCGACACACGTTCTTCATCCATATCTGTGCAGGTTTTCAGAACGGTTACAGATCCGGCAATGTAGCCAGTAATTCAAGCAAGACAGCCACTGGACACGACAACGAAATTTAAACAAAGGTGGACACAAGACAGACGTGCGTTAATACAACCTCGTCCACTTTTGAGTTTGTCGTCAGAAAACTCTCGATTCCGCGCCTCCCTCGAGTCGGAGTATGAGGGGAATGACGGACGGTTACAATATTCTTTGCGCACGTCAGCACAAATGATTCATCAAGTAAGAATGTTAATTTTTAAACCACTTGTTCTGTCGCTACTGAAATAAATTCAATAAACAATTTTAAAAGCAGATTTTTTTAACATTCTTACTTGATGAATCTCTCGAAAAAGACGGGACAGTAAGCGGAATGGTCAACGAGCAAATACTTTGACTATTTGTCAATCAGAAAATATTCTGTGATTGTAGCTTCTCGGTTTTTAAGAATTTGCTGCTTTTCTCGTTTTTTTATTTCTTCCTCAACTGAATGACGTTGAGCGTAAAGATGCTTTTCTACAACTCAACAGATCAAACAGGGAAGAGATCGATCAGCGGATTGATTCATTCGGTATTCAATCTTTAACACAAGACGATAAAACAAGCAAACCTACGAATGAAGGTTGAATTTTAAACATTTGTGTGGATTCAAAAACAGAACTGTTTAATTTTTCTGATGTGCATCTTCATGCGTGCCAGGCTAACCGGGGAAATCTGTAGTCTCTCTTTGTTCTTCCTATTAACCATTAGGAGGATTAAAAAAAAAAAGAAAACAGGCTTCAAGTGATTCCTCTGAATTCACAACTAGGTAGAAGGGAAACTTTATCCTTGATGATTAAAAACAAACAGAAAAGATGCCGTTCATTCCCTCGTAGCGTTGCTGTCTTGTCTTCAAGCCCTTTGTTGTTGCAATTATTATTTTTCTAGATTCAAGGTCTAAACTAATTATTCACAGTTGCTGGAGGCTTTAAAAATCCACGTGCGTGATGGCACACGGTTTAAAAGCAGAGCCGACCTAACACAGCTCAGCCTGTTGTTCGAACCTTAATGAGCATTTAGAAGGGAAATGAGAAGAAGAAAGAGAAAATCAAACCGAACCAGAGGAGAGGCGCCTGGATTTGAACAGTAAGATCAGGCTGGAGGAGAGTGAAGGGGGCAGAGAGTGGGTGATGAGATGGATGAGAGCACAGAGGGAGCGGTGGTACCACGCATGTTGTTTAGTAAGGAAGAGAGAGAGAGAGAGAGAGAGAGAGAACAAGATGAGTGGGGATCAGAAAGAGAGGGAGAGGAAGTGGAAGGTGAGATGTACACTGACCTGTGAGAGATCTGGGATGTCACCCTGATCTATTCCAACTTGCTGTCATCAAAAAACAAATCAACAAAAGAAATAAAAAAGGGAGAAAGGAAGGTGGGAGATCATGGAGAGGGAAAACAAATATGAAAAAACAGGGGAATCGTTACTTCATGCAGCGGCAACGTCAAACATAAAACGACAACAGAAATAAACAAGAAAACGTTTTTTTTGACATGTGGATTGGCCGATGAGCCGACCAATCCTCGTGGTGAATGGCGATGACGACTGTTCAGTGAGATATGTCTGACCAATGAGGGAGAGAGGGCGTGGCGACTAATGACTGATGATGTCACAACATTTAGAACATTCACAATAGAAGGACAGCTCCGCCCAAAAACCATCTCCAGATCCACAGATAACATGAGTTTGGACACAGATTAAGAACATTACGACTTTTGGTGAGTTTACCGAAAGCTTCATTCAGTAAAAATCCTTTTAGTTTGTGTTATTTCTTAAACATTCACAAAGGTCACATGTGTTTGCGTCACTGTGCAAATTTACTTAAAGTTGGTTGTTGATTTTTCAGGATCTGTAAAAACTTCTGTATTAGATCAGAAAATCCTGATGAGGTTTAGAGGTTTAGATTCTAGACTCATGATCAGAGTTGAGCTTTTAAAGACCCTGGATTTGTGCTTTTTTTTAAATTAAATTCCATCTTTATAAAAGAAAAACACACTTAATGGAAGTTCCTCAGAACCTAATTATCAGAGACAGAGCATCTTGATTGGGACGGTTTATTTGAACACACAGTTTCCTCTGCGGAAAAATGAAATCAACTGTGGTAGTTGATTCTCACGGTTTCAAATCTGATGAAACAAAGGAGAGAGGGAAGGAGGAGGGCACAGGAGGAAAGGAAAGAAAGAGGGATGATCTGTGGGCACTGGGAGAGGGAGAGCCGCACGAGTATCTGTCTTTGTCAGGGGCAGAGGGAAGAGCCGGGAAGAAGAAAGGGATTAGATGGAGGAGTGTGGGGAGCAGGAGGAGAGGGAGCTAACGGAGCATCTAACCATGTCCTCCATCTTAAGGTGTTTTATATATATATATAGGAATGTGTATACATGTGTGTGTGTGTACAGAAAATGTGGGTCATTGAGGGTAAGTCAGATTCTCCTGACTGCACATACTACTGCACACAGTACTGCACACAGTACTGCACACAGTACTGCACACAGTACTGCACACAGTATAGAGGCAACAAACACAATTGAAGATGTGTTTGAGAATCTGTGTGTGTGTGTGTTTGTTTGCGTACATGTGTGTGTGTTAGTTAATGAAACCAGGAAACCACACAGAACAAGTTACGAGGAAAACTGTAAATTTCAACTGCAGATGCTTTTTTTTTTTTAAAAACCCTAATAAATCTTACTCCAGATGTGAATGTGCACGTTGGCGTACTTTTGAGTGTGTGTGTGTGTGTGTGTGAGCGCATGTACCTCGGCCACTTTGAGGAACTCTGACAGCTTCGTCATCCTGTAAAGAAATTTCTTGTAGATGTCCAGAGCGTCTTTACACTGGTTCTTCTTCATGTCGAAGTATTTTTCTACAGAGACAGAAAGCAGAGAGTAAGATTCAAAATCAAAGAGGGAAGGAAGGAAGGAAGTGTTGAAGGAAGGAAGGAAGGAAGGAAGGAAGTGAAGAAGAGTTGAAGTTTGTGTAACTGTGTGTCTTCTCTCTACTGTATTCACCATCCACCACTGAATAAAGTGGACGGAGGTAAGTTGGGAAGGAAGGAAGGAAATATCAGTGTATAGTTAAGTAGAAACGGAAACAGAAGCAGCTTCATGACAGCTTGTTAAAACTTACTGTAGCGCCATGGCAACCAGAGTGTGATTATAATATGTGTGTGTGTGTGTGTGTGTGTGTGTGTGTGTGTGTGTGTGTGTGTGTGTGTGTGTGTTACCCAACAGGTTGATGACCCCCTCATTGTAAGCAGCAAACAGCCTTATGGAGTCTTTGAAGAGCAGCATGAAGGCCGAGTTGATCACTCCGTTGGTCAGCTCATTAGGGTTGGCCTGGGGAGAGGAGGAGCAGGAGGAGGTGGGAGAAAAGGAGGAGAAGAAGAAGAAAAATCCTCCATCACACTGTTCCAAAGATTTTCACAAAACACAAAAAGTCTCTTTCAAATATGCCCCAATCTTTTTTTTATTTTTTTTTTTAAATACCATTAGCTCTTTCACCTGCCGTGAAAAGAACACGCCCCCCCCCCCCCCCCCCCCCCCCACACACACACACACACACCAGGTTTCAAACTTTGCAATCTGTTGTTTTAATTTACATTTTGATAAGGAAGTGAATCAACCACAACCTCACAACAAGCATGCATAATGACACACACACAAACACACACACAAACACACACACAGTACCTGGAAATCCAGCAGAGCATCTAGCTGGTTCTGGATGATGGGCAGCGTCTTGATCAGCTTTTCTGTGCTCATGGTGCGCATCACTCCGTCAATCCTTACACAAGGAAATGCACGAGGAAAAAAAAAGAATGAATAAATTAAGAAAAACTATGGGAAGTACAAAAAAAAAAAAAAAGTGATGTTTTGCATAAGAACACTTCCACAGAAATGCTAAATCTTTACGGCTTCTTGAAGTGAAGAGGATCAGCATGACAAAGGATTCAGCGTCGCTCCACGACAGCTGATCTTTCCGACATTGAAATGATCTTCACAACACAACCTCCAACTTTCTTTACGCTAAGCTAAGCTAATCAGTTACCAGCGGTAGCAGGAGAACGGCAGCAAAATTACTCATCGAACTCCAAATGTTGAACTTTTATCCCCAAGTGAGTTCGCTTCCTCTCACATGTGACCTGCGGTAGATAACATTAGAGTTTAAATCTTCAAAGTCTGTCCTTTGGAGGACGACGTGACTCGCGACTGGTCGAGCGTGTGCATCAGTGAGACTTCGTTACTGCGACTAAATCCCACGATCAGTCCCGTGCAGACTCTGGCTTTAAATGACGTCAAACGCACAAGATGGCGGCACGACGTCAATCATTATATACAGTCAACAGTTTCCTCCAGCTGACTAAAACTTTTAGTTTTCATGTCCTGCAATATTTAATAGTTTGACATCCAGAGAAATGTTTCTGTTTCTGTCCATTGCTCTTCTTTCAATGCAGTGGGCTAAAGGACACCTGCAACAACATAGTGTGAGGCGATGAGTGAGGTTGTCGTATTGTGTTTGTGAAGCGATGAGGGAGGTACTCGTATTGTGTTTGTGGCCTCTCTCACCCCCTCTTCATCTTGGTGAAATCCACAGCCACCAGCCTGTAGGACATGGCCTTCTCGTTCAGGTAACGGCTGTATCGCCTGATGAAGGTTGACATGTCGTAACCTGAGACAGAGGGAAGGTGTTACATGAGACAAGGACAAATGATTCCTGCCGTTTGTCTCTTTGTTGTTTATGTACTTCACTGTTTATCTGCCCTGAGTCGGATGCGTCTGAATCAAGTCACTGAGTTTTGAAAACAACCTTTTTAAAACGTCCTCCTGATTGTCAGGAACATTCTGGTTCTCTGAATCATTTTTCTTCGGGGCAAAATACTGCCCGTTTGTTTTCTCAAAAACAAATTAAAACCGAATTAAAAAGCTGTGGATTAGAGTCAAATGTGATCGTGCGTGTCGTACCTTGCAGAGCTCCCTTGTCCAGGAAGTTGCTCAGGTTAAACAGGGTGTTTCTTGAGGCCAGGTACTGGATGAAACGCTGTGATGAGAGAGAGAGAGGAAGAAACAAACGTTAATGAGTCAATTAAATATAAAAAGCTCAACATTCACTTAAAATGTTAAACACATCCATAGGTCTGAAACTGTGGGGTTGCTGGTTCAAAGCCTGAGTTGAAAAGTCAGCAGCCAGCAACAACAGAAACTCCAGTGAAGACGATACCTGGTGCAGATGTGTGCAGACCGATGTATATAAACAAAGAGCTTGTTGTTCTTTCCTAATTTTAAAGATAATTGACGAAGTAAAACAAAACGCTCACTGTCTCACAGACGGTAAAAGCTTATGCTCATTAACGTGCAGCTAATAAGTACGACTGACATGATTCATCACTGACATAAAGTTAAGTCTCAATTAAAATGCAGCACACGGCAGTGTCTGCAGCGACTCAAACGTTTAATCCCCCCGAGATGCTAAGAGGCGGCGTGATGATGGAACAGTCTCTTTATGTTCTTCTGTGTATTCCTGACGTTAGTTTGCCTTCATGCAGCGAGGTCAGAGGTCAACTACAGCGACCGGAGGAGTCTCTTTAACAGCAGGGCGGAGGATTTAACCCGTGTCTCTCTACTGTTGCTCTAGATGGTTTAATCTCTGCTTGCATCGCCGCAGGCTGGGACGTCTGTGTTTAAAAATCCACTGTTCTCCTGCTGGTTTTCTCACAGTCACTTATTAGGACTGCTGAGTCACTGGTACAGAACTGGTGAGGGAGGACGAACGGCAGGAGGAAGCCGGCAGAACCAAATTAATTAACCTTGGCAGCACAACATTATAAATTATCATGTAAAGATGCTTTTAAATGTTCATGAGATCAAAACCAACACTAAAACTTTGCGTCTGGCTTGTGACGAAAAAAACAATCAATATAACTCACAGACTGTTTACATTTAAACCTTAACGTTACTCTATTCCAGCTCTGAACACTCTCACTGGTCTCACAAGTTCACTAGAGCTGCTTTCAGACCGGCACCGAACTCCAGACATGTTCCTGAAACGTTCCAGAGGTTCTGTATGTGACAACGCAAATGTCAGATTCGGATGCTCCGGACATTTCCTCAAACTTTTCGAGCCTCCTAGCAAAATGTTGGGAAAGTGTCAGAATGAGCCTGGAGAGTGGAAATGTGAACTCCGCCTGTGTCTACGTCTTCTCCCGACATCACCTTTCCAGACTCAGTACAGCCTCTGTTTTCCACTGTTGGCCACTGAGCTTCTCCTAGAGGACTTTTTCTTTTATTTCTAGAGGGGTTTTTTTGTCTTGTTTGAGAGCACTCCGGTATTAATATATTAATGATGCGGACAGCTTTACTTATTCACTTTCTCAAGCCCAGAATTTCCTGGCTGCAGATTCAGGATGTATTCAGACCTCTGAGGGGGCCCAGGTCCCTGAGCAGGTGCCGGTAGCTCATCCATTTCTCCAACTAAGTCTCTTCATCTGTCTAGCAGAGATGGACGCTCAGACAAACAGCATCATGGACGAGCACCGCAAACGTAAATGGGCTTTAGAAAATGATTCGGTGTGAGGGAAAACAAAATAATAGAAAACAAGCTGTGACGGTCTCAGCAGAGTTTAAGGGATCTGTGTAACAAGAACTCCGAAGGCCTTGGACTGTGTTGTGAGAGAAATGTAGAAAGAAAAAAAACTCTACGTGCACCTGAAGAACACGTCTACGTGGGAGAGGTACCGTGATACCTCCCCCGTGACGTTATGTTTTCAACCACGTCCATTGTTTTCTTGATGGAGAGTAGTATTTTTATTTCATTAGTGCTTTCTATGTACTCGCCCAGATTACTGAACAGGGTGAGAACCATTTGCATTTTCTAGAAATACTGCCATTCAGTGAAACTATTAGTGAGGGTAGAGACAGGAGAGGAACTCTGAACTGATGAGACTTGACACTTCACCTGGACTCTGTCTCTGAAGACTGGACCTGAGCTTTTTGTTTTGTCCCTCGTGAGCGTCTGTGCCATCTCGTCTTCCTCACATCGCTGCACAGCAGAGAGCTGTGGGATAAGTCTTGGCCACCGTCCATGGTTATGGGAACTCAGGCCTCAGGCTTCCCAAAAGCATCTTAACGTTAAGGCTGTCTCTGTCCAGCTGACTTAAAATGATCTGAGATTTGCCAGTTTGCCAATTCCCGATCTGGCAGAGAACCAAGCCACACTGGCTGGTTTGAGCATCTATGAATGTGCGTCTGTGAGCACAAATATGCTTGCGGGCATGTGTGTTGGATTCAGCTGCACTGACACGTTTCCAAGAGCTCTGGGACTGTTTAAAAAGGCAAAAAGAATTTGATTTTGTTCTTGCCCTTTTTCTTTTGTGTATGTTTTACGCAGGAGGGGAAAAAAATGTTCACATCGTCACATGAAGGGATTTCAGCTTCCATCTGTGGACAGGAAATGAGCTGCCAAAAAGTTTGCTATTGATTTCGGTGGCTACGAGAGGATAGAGGTGAAAATGAAGCCTCCATGGAGTGAATATAAGGAGGATGGTAACTTTCACTTATTAAACACAGTCATTTCAGGTCCATACATGCATTTAAGTTACTTTGTACACGCAGACACAGTACATGAGGTTAAATGTGAAGCTGTGTGGATACTTCTCGTCTTTTAGATAATGGGGTAATGACTTTGGCTTTCCGCCGTGTCAACATGAACCCAGGTAAAGAAAGACAAGATGGTAACAGATAAACCGGGGAAAGAAGGGAGACACGGCAAGAAATAAAATGAAACGCACACACTTCATAAGCTCTCTCTGCCTCTTCCTCATCAAAAGTCCATCTGACGGAAGCCTGAGCTTCTCCCCGCAGCCTCAGATACAAACGCGGAGGCACAGAGAACCCACACAAAACGCATGGATATAGTTGAAAAGGAGAAAATCTATAAAGGGGCAGAGACACTCGGCGCAGAGAGAGAGACAGAGAGGGAGACTCAGAAACCCGCTGAGCCCGAGATTATTCAGCGAAGACGTTCCAAGAAAAAGACGCTATTCTGAGAGGAGATTTTGACAAAAGGTGTAAGAATAGAGATGAGTGAAAAGGAGGAGAGACTGAGGAGATGTAGAGCGATAGAGGGGGATGAGGCGGTGAGGCGGGTCGGCTCGGCTTGTCAAATAATTCATGTTAGCATATTGAAGAACAACCTCATGCATTATTGATACATGTAGATCCTGGCTGCTCCCTCTACCTCAACAGTGAGACACAGCCATAGAGCTACCAGCGTCCAGCCCTCATCCATCCTCCACCTCCTTCCACGTCCTTCTCTCAAAAGTGCACAAGTCGGTGGTTGTCGTAGTAACCAAACACCACAGCCTGAGGTGATTTCTTTTTTTTTTCTTCTTCTCTGAACTGTGTAGTCGGGGCTGGAAATCTGCAGTTTCAACTGTATCTGGATTAGAATCCAAAGTTATATTCTAATTACTAACAGCTAATGACACTGATGTTCAAGTCCTGTGTCGTTAAACAATCACTACTGCACAGACTAAAGTTTTAACTGATGTTACCAGCGCCTGTATCCAAAATACTTTGGTCTAGTTTCTCGTGCAGGGAGAGGAAGTGAAGACGCTGCATACTTCTGATTGGTATCCCCTCCAAGGCCCTCTTACTGTTTTACGTTTGTTCTTATAAATTATAAAAATTGTTGTACAACAAAAAGTAAAAGGAAGCTTCAGGAGAGACGTTCAAGCCGAGCATCACTTCTGTCTCATAAACATAGGTATGAAGGTGATGACGTTTCTGACACTGTAGATAGTTACTTGTCAAATCCCAACTTTCCTTCTACTTTTAATTTCCCAACCCAGAGGAAACAGAAGCACATGACGTGTCCATAGAAAGCAGTTCTCGCTGACACCACATCGTTTCATCCCCCACAGACCTGGTTGGTAAACATGACCTCACGTTGCATTATGTCTGGGAAACAGTTACCGCTCGGCCTCCTTTGGACCTGCCGACATGTACACACAGCCAACGAACAACAACGTCGACCAAAGGGAATTATTGATCCTTGTTGTGAAACTCTCTGTTAGCTTTCGAATAGCTGCGAGCGATGTGGAATTCTCGTTCTTGCTCAAGGACACTTCAGCACGGAGGAGGATCTGTTTACAAGGGAATGAATCAGGGTCAATTAGGTCTAGTTATCTTCAAACGGGGGTTCAGGGAGTCCGCGGGGAATTCATTTTTCTTGGCTGCGGTGCTGGGCTTCACTTTCCCTCGAACGCACACATGCACAAAATCGTCAGAACTGACTGCAAACTGAGTTCAGCTGAGAAGGTGATGACTCACACGAGAAGAATGAGTCGTGATCGGACTGAGTTGAATGGAAGCAGCTCTTATGCAAGCAGCGAGACGCACAGAAGGAAGCTGACGCGTGGATAGATACAGACGTGAGAGTGTGCACACACACACACACACAAAATCGCCTGGCCTAATTCCTGCCTGCATGGGATTCTCCTTCCTTTTTCTCTTTCTTTCTTCCTCCTCCTCTTCCTCCTCTTCCTCCTCCTCCACCCGATGTAGCGTTTCTTCTCCTTTTACACAATCAGACATTCAGCCCTTAAAATCACTCGGTGTGTGAAAGAAACAGAAAACTGGGTGGATTGAATCTCTACATTTAAACGTCTGCAAGTTCACTGTAGCTCTAAGTGTGTGTGTGTGTGTGTGTGTGTGTGTGTGTGTGTGTGTGTGTGTGTGTGTGTGTGTGTATGTCTACAAGGTGACAAGGCTAATAGCGTGTGGGCTCCTGCTCTCAGGGGAGCTGTTGTATCTTGCTGGTGGATGAGTGTGGCTGTGAGGTCAATGATCTAGACAAGCAACATGAGTCATCAATTGAGACACACACACACGCACACACAGTAGAGAGTAGGTATTAGTACAGTTGCCTCCCTATAATGTGACGGTCATCATACTTGTACACGACTGACAGAAGCCAAACATGAACAGTTTTTTTATATAGATCCTCTGGTTCATCATCCATGATCGAATCAATCAGACCCA